TACCGGGGACATTGGGGCCCGAATTTGACCTCCGTGGTTATAAAAAAAGAAAAGTCTGTGGTGACCCCGGCTCTGTTGAGGGATGGTTGTACTTATTGTGCCTAATTTTTATTTCACTCACAGCTATCATACGAGAGCCAAGCAAACAATTAAGGTCGGCCATGAACTATTACAACATTGAAACACTCCTTAAAATGCGGTCTACCAACCCGATGAAGACGTTTTTGGAGGATCCGTGGAAATTCAAGAACCTGTCTGAGGCCTACTTTCCGCACCGCAATCTTATCTTCGACCCAACAAGAAACTTCATGTCCTTTGACTTGGGGTACCCTGCTGAAGCAGCGGAGGACATGGTATCTATTTAATAGCCTATCTAATCCAACTTTTGTAGTGAACTTTTTTATGCACCAAATGGCTTTCATGGTAAACCTTTGCATGATTTTGTTTCAAGTGTGGACAGATTACACGTACAGGGAAATGACAACCGTTTATATGCAAAGTATACGTTGTGATTGCTTTGTTGGTTAAATCCCGTGGCATACCATTATAAAGAGCTTTATCCTGTATCAAATAACATTGACACATAGTTTCCGATACTTCACTGCCAGTGCATTAAATCTATTCTAATTTTCTTTTCATCATGGATCAACTCTCAGACCGTCTAGGTGATATGAGCCGTACAAGCAGTCTGACTGTCCACACGAGCTCTTCACCTGCAGATGCCATTCGGATCTCTGGAGCACCGAGGTCTCGTCACTGAATCAAAATCAAATTGATCTATTTTACTTATTTTTTAAAGGAGAGAGCTCGTCGCTACATCAAGGAACTAGAAGCTGACTTCACTCTCATCATGCTGCTTGACTACCTGGACGAGTCGCTCGTTCTTCTCAAACGTTTAATGTGCTGGGACCTCCAAGACATTCTTGTTCTGACTAAGAATAACAGAACGTATCCATTCAAAATATACGACCCAACTGAAGAAGAGCTTGCTAATCTCCGACGTTGGAAAGCCGTGGATTATCTACTGTATGACACCTTTAACAGATCGTTGTGGCGACAAATTGCGGAACAAGTATGAGTATATAACAAGTGATGATTCGTATTTCTGAACCCACTTTTTTGAAATTGTCATTATTTAAGGTATATAGTAATCGTATCCTTGTTTTATAAGTATCGAAATAGATTCAAGGTTAAAATACAATTTTTGTTTTCGATCACTATCTGACGCTTTTCATTGATTTGTCGTCAACACAGGGTCCCGACTTCTTTGAGGAACTCAGCATTTTTAAGGACATGAGCAAACACGTTCATGCGTACTGTAGTACTGGACACCAACCTGAGACCTACCTCACCGTCGAAGCGTCAAAGTGGAATCCACAGTTTCAAGTCGACGACAAATTTTGCGGTCTTTTAAGATTAACGGTCAGTGTCTGATTTTTCATACGTATTGACTTTAATTCTCTCAAAGAGGAAATCCCATTCAGTAATCGAGAAAATTTTATCTAAATGTTTTCATCAGAATCCTTTCGGGCAAATCAAGTTTAAGTTTAGGAAATAATTTTCACAATAGACCTAATCCGGCCATTTGCAGGTCATCCTGCTGTGGCTGATGCGGGTTTAAAAATACATCACGACAATCATTGCCCTCGACAATAAGTTTGTTGTAACCGGGTTAATATTAGTGATAGCGAGAAACGCTATTTTGGTTTACGAACATGATATAATAAGCAAATTCTTTTTTTAACAATGTAGCAATTTTTAAAGAAATTGATACCCTCCTTTCAGTTCCGTAACGTCATTTTTAATTTGAAACAAATCGTTGGAGGATACAAGTCATGTGTCTAATACGCTGTACATAGTGTCCTGTAGTGTCCGTATAGTGCCTATTGTAAAGTTATGCACGTAAGTGTGAAGTAGCGCAACCTTTAAGCCGTTAACTGCTATCCAAAAATTTCTAAAGCATACTCCAAAAATGTACAAAAATGTGAAACTTGAAAATTGGCCCTAGCGTTTACCCTGATCTTGGAATAGACGTAAAATTATTGCTAATGCACTAAGGGTGGTTTCATCGCGTAATTCATTAGTATATTTTTTTCGAATGTGCTGAATAGTAATACTCTGGAAAACAAATAATTTGCTTTTTTTTCTTATACAGGTCATGGCTTTTCTGCAGAGACAACGACCTAATGCAATTGGACGGGCACTTATGAGTACAAAAATGAACTTAATGGCAATCGCAAAAGGACATCGAACTGTCAAGTATCTACCTGACCGAAAATATCATAATATTACTAAAGCTTAGAAAAGCTGAATGCAGAGTCATTAAGAACCACTTGGTTCCTAGCCGAAAACTGCAGTCACGCGAAACTACTTCACTAATAAAAATCAGCATTAGAAAGAGGCGAGTTTCTTTAGGGCCAACCAAACCTCCTTGAACCGTGATGGTGGTAGATTCCGTCTTCCCGCCACTTTTGATGCACTTCTGACGCTTCCGACTTCCGGAAAGTCAGCGATTGCATCACACATCTGATTAAAATTGACGGGTTCGACCGAAATTTTATGGTGAGTTCCTTTTAGTGTTTGATCTAAGCTTAAACTTTGCAAGGCTGGAAACATCCACTCCTGCTGACCTTGTTCTCTTGATGCTTTCATCATTACCTGTATACATGACATGTATATGTGAAAGGAAAAGTAAACCTTTTGTTCCTAGTTCACAATAAATGTGTCTTAATGCAATCAAAGAAATTAAAGAGCTGACAACGTTACTAAATTGGATATCAAAGCTAAAATGATGGGGGAAAAGAATTCTTAAGAAAGACTAAAAATCCCTCTCCCCAAAATAGTAGTGCAAAAAGAGCTTCGAGCTTGAATGCGTAGTTTGTCTATAGCTATAGATGCCAAAATACCTTAAAAATCCGACTGAAAATTATCAATTCACGTGCCAAATGTGGACCAAAAACTTAAGAATGAAAAATAACACGTCTTTTGCCAACATCAAGTATGAATAACCACAAACGAATAAACGATCATTATCCGTGCAAAATACCTTGATACCAAGGAGCCTTGATACATGTATGCATTTATTTTATACTCCCCTAATAGGAATCGTCGGCAGCCGTCCGATGATGATGATGATGATGAATAGGAATATTTCACCCGTGTTTTTTGTTTTCGTACAAGGTACTCGATTCAAAACAGACTTTTTAAAAGCAGTCTTAGGCCTAGGAACACCTTCAGTCATAGCAGCTGTCTTGTCGATCACCATACGGATGAATCACCCGAACTGCTTGATTGCTTGCCCCACCTGTAGGTCGGAGTAAACATCAATGCCTCTCCCGACCTTCTCGTCATTGCAGAAGAATTGCACTGTAGCTGATCTTGACAAAACTTGCTTGAAATTGTGTGGTCGAAACTCACTCGCCGCTACAAGTCTCTCGTACAGTTGCGCGAAAGTTAGTTTTCCCTGGCCGACATTGAGCGCGTACCAGTCAACAACAACCTTTTTCGCACGCTTTTACGACCTTAACGCTCACATACTTGGCGACCAAGGGTGGTGAGCCCACATGCTATGTAGAGCACGACGCTATCTTTCTTCTTTTGAACTGTGGCGCGCGGACTCTTGTGCGCACGTACATCATCGTTTTGCGGCACATGTTTCGCGGTACGGGTGTCATTGTGACCTCTCTTACTACACAGATCTCTCTTCTACTAACCCTAGAGGTTATCACGACCTCATGATCACAGCCGACTCCTGTTTAACAATCTTCTCAGGAGTCCAAAACATGCATTTCCACTTGTCACTTTCTGACTAGGCTTGGGGCTCAGCTGCTAATTAATAAGCTCCAACAAACCAATAATAAATCAAGAACAGTTCACATATATCTCTAACATGGAATGATAATTCCACCAGGAACTCGGTATTTACTGTCCGTACTATTGCTTTGAGTTCACTGTCCCACGAGACTAGTCTCATACAGCGGGTAATCCACCGGTACAGCGGGTAATCCACCGGTACAGCGGGTAATCCACAGGTACAGCGGGTAATCCACAGTAATAGTGGTGTCCACAAGAACAGCAGGTAATCCACAACGTTCATTATCCCCTCAGCTGGGCACGTGCATGCGAACCACTGAAATATAAGGTGTCTGCAATGGGGACAGCAATGAAACAACTGTCCAGGCTACAAGCATTTTTTTTCCTTTTTGTTCTAAATCATACCAAATCTGAAGACAGGATGGTTTCAAATATTTTCACTGAATATTACATACAGTAAAGGGGCCGGGCTATAGTGCACGGATGTTGTGACCATAGCCGGAACTATACACGGATATGTGAGAGCATCAGGGCAGAGCTTTACACACGGTTCCACGTCAACATTGTTATACCACGTCTTGTGAGGGACATCTGGGAGGACCCGGTAGGAAGTACAAAACGTCGAAAAGAGGATACTTAACAGCCAGACGCCAATATTCAGAAATCTATAGGTAAATAGTTTTCCGTTATATAGATTTGGCAGTGGAAATCCACTGTATACGCCTTGCCATTTTTTAATGCATGCATAGTGTGTGTGTGGGGGGGGTGTCCGTGCGTTTGTTTGAGCGCTTGTGCTTGTGTACTTAATCATTTCTCTGCCTGTGTGTGTGTCGAGAAGACTTACATAGATTGTATTTCACGGTGGTCAAATCTGGGCTGCAAAGTTCCCACATTTCATAGAATCTGAATTGTGTTCGATCGTGTTCGATCTGGGCAATTCGAATCAAACCCGCGTTCCATTTCGGGGTCACCTGCGGTCATTTACTATAAAGCGGCAAAACAAGCCCTTCTGCCTGAGTGCCTTGCAACAGATAAAAAACAACACTTTTCCATAGATACAAACAGTTTCCTGGACAGTACATGTCCGCTATCATTTTTTGTGGACATGTAACATATAGCGAAGCTATTGTCGTATCCTTGGGTGACCTTGAATACTGTAATGATTCTTTACACCTGTATGAATAACACAATGCACACTTTCGGGTGATATGACATGTCTGCAAAACTCGTTCAAACCTGGAGGCATGGAGAGCTCAAAATGACCGTAACGGTTGTCCCGAAAATCGTGTTTTAGGGATTTTTCAAAAATGGCCTCAATTTTGAATAATGGGTATTTTAGTGAGGTCAAAAATGCCATCTTTTCACCAATATGTTGACAAAAACTAGACTTAAAATCAGAAATTAAAAAATCCCTAAAACACGATCTTTGATCTTATTCCTAGTCGTCGAAAAATAAAAAGATCGGGGATCTGGGGTTATACACGAAGCCAGGTTTGAACGAGGTATGCCTAAAAACATGACATAACGTCTGCTCGGAAACCCGAAAATAATCGTCTTTCTGAGCAAAATTTAACAAAATCAGTGATTTAACATTAAAAGGATGTTAAGACGATAATTTCATTTCAATTTGACGAAACTTTAACTAAATACTATTTGTTTATTTTCAGACCGCCGTGTTTATAGGGCGGCTCTTAGTTAGCGCTATAGCCTGGGTGCCACCAGAGTTTGTTAGGGGTTGCCTTTGAACATCGAATGTCTCCCAACGTAGGCCTTAGTAAGACTTCGTAGTGATTAGAATTTGCGCCCCCCCTCCTCCTGGTGTACTGCATCGGAATTTAAGGTTTGGATTATTGTAATTATTGTAATTATTGTAATTTTTCACTGTAATTTGCTCTTGTGATTGAACAATCGGCTATTCCAGGATTAAGGTGTACCAATGGTATTCTGAATCGTTATATATGTCTAACTATACATTGCATTCTGTTAAACATTTATAATTGTCTTAAGACAAGTATTATCAAGAAAATTATGACGGTTTTTGGCTGATGGATGTTTAAATTATTACGCCAGTACCAATTTTATGCCTAAAATTGCCATAGAATTAACGTTATACTGCTGCATTAAAATAGGTATTTAAAAAAAAGCTATTAGGTAAGTTACAATGAAAAAATGAAATCAACAATTGAGAAATATGTTAACCCTATCTAGACCGGGCTCTTTTGGGCTTCGTGGGACGGGGAGGGGGGTGGGTGTTGGGGCTCATTCGACCCCCCCCCCTCAGAACTCGCGAACAGTATGTCGTATGGCCACCAATTTTTAGAGGATGGTGTAGTAGTAAAAAATTATCATAACTACAATTTTTATGTCGTTATGTTGTAATGTGATGTCATTTTAACGTCGTTAATGTGATTTTATTGGCCCAAACCGTCTAGATGGGTTATTCCCTGAAAACTAAGTGGTATACAACAAAACTTTACCAAAAGTGTTTATGACAGAATATCAGGATGTACTAAGTCTTATGTTGTCCATAGCAACACCGTCATGCATATGTAAGCAATCCGCCATCTTGGATCATCAATCTTGAATTTTCGAAAATTGTTCTCTCAGGATAAAGCCGAAAATACACTGTAAACAGACTAAAGACGTTCATATGAACCTTCTTTGTAAAAAGAAATGGAAGTATTGATGACATTTTAAGGAAAATAACCTGTATATACCTGTTCTAAGGATATGGTCCGCTATCTTTGATTTTGGCCAATGGAGTAAAAAATTAGCATAAATTATGCATTTTTTTGTAGAATTTACATACAAATATATGGGATGTTATTTATATTAGAAACCATGTGTAAATTATAAATGACATAAAACCCATGAATTCTATTGTTGAAACGAAAATTAATAAATTTAGCAAAAATGCCTGTCAGAAACCCATCGCCATGGCAACACAAAAAATATTATCTTATTTTAATAATACAGAATTGTTGCCACCAATATTTTTAGCTCCCCCCCTCCCCCCGGTCTACATACTAAGACTGCCTCCTTTGAATATGTTTTGCTGAAAACTACATGATAATTTGAAAAATTGTCTTTCGTACAGTGCCGTTAACACTATGTATTAGAAAATGCATATTTTACACTTTATAGCAAAATATGTACCCCCGAAAATTGTGATAGGTATAGTTATTTTTCATATTAATACATGGTCTATCTAGATATACATGTCATACAAAATTTGTGTCTTCATGTTGCGTTGCTCGTACTTTGTGTTAAAATACGGGATAGCTTGCAGTTGCCTGCTATTTTTTGTCCGAGAAAACGTGGTGCCAGTAAAGAAGTACTAAATGGCTCATTAGCTGGAATATGGATGCCATGGGTTCATATAGATTCAGTAGTCTGAAGCAACTCAACATGGTGGCCTTATGACAGAAGCCATTTTGATAATGTTTGTAAAAAAATTATAAAAAAATGACAGTCATAAATTACTATGTTGTACCAAGGACATAATGTCCTTGGTTGTACATGTACATTTACATTCTTTAAATGATGCAGTTTTAACCCTTGTCCTGCTGGC